GACTCAACTTTAAAACACTATATCGATTCTCGTCTCTACAGACGAAGAAGAAGAAGAAGACAGTAACAGAAACACAAACAAAAAAATAAATAAAAAAGAATAAACACTTCTTGGATGAATGACTCTTCCGCGAGCGAAAGTTGCTTCCACCTCTCGAAACAAAACCCGATCGTAAAAGACCTTTTTCATTTACAACTCGTCCTGAGAGGAAGTAACACTCTCTTCATTATAACTGAGATTAACTGCATTCAAATCGAGTCGTTATCTGTTGCAGAGAAAATAACAAGGAAAAATATTTTCAAAAAGAAAAAAAAAAGAATGAGAAGGCCCTGTTTATTTCTTCGTCTATACAAAACCTGTCTTATTAAAATTCATATACGATTTTATTATCTGGTATAATAAATAATAGTTGAATAATACATAATACAAAGGAATATGATTGAAAATGATATGGCAATATTAGGTTTTCACTTCTGAACGACCGAAAGATTGCTTCACTCTCTAAATTTGAGATTGGATATTAGTTAGGGGACGCCACCGACAGATGGCTAGCAAGTAGCTTAAAAATAGCGCGAATTTTTAAAACAAAAAAATGTAGGAATAGTTAAAAATTAATCATTGTCACCTAGAGACAGGGAAATTTTGATAATTCAAAGTTATTACTGTAGTTAACGGACGCCACCGACAGATGGCGCGCAAGGAACTTAAAAAACGCGCGAATTTGAAAAAACAAAAAGGTAGAAAACGGTAAAATTCATCATTGTTACCTAGAGAGAGAAGGATTTTGATAATTCAGAGTTATGATTGTAGTTAACTGACGCCACCGACAGATGGCCAACAAGCAACTTAAAAAAGACGCGAATTTTGAAAACAGAAAAAAGAAAAGAGTGGTAAACTTAATAATTGTTACCCAGACGGAAAAAAATTCGGATAATTCAGGGTTATGATTGTAATTAAGGGACGCCACCGACAGATGGCGTCCGGGTGGCAAAAAAACCGCGCAAATTTTGAAATCAAAAGCAAATTAGAAAACTACCTGACAATTATGCAATACTTCCACCAGGGCAGCATCATCAGAAATACAAACTTACTGCAAATAGTTACAGGACGCCACCACCAGATCGCGTCAATTTACAATGACCGCGATTTTCGAAAATAAAATGTCAATTTCGAACAATAATAACAGTATGAATCTAGAATTTACTCTTAGCCATGACATTGACAGAAAATAACCAGATTGATTTGTTTCTTAAGAAACAGAAACTAAAAGTGAAAAAAAAATTTGTAGCAAAATATTGCGCGCATTCAAGTGCGGAATTTCAAAGAACGATTTAAATTTGACTTGTGTCGAGAAGAACCGCAATCCAACGCTAATGATAAACATCAGCATTTATTCTATCTAAAACGGTGAGTTCGTCCTTGCAAGGTTACGTTCTGGCGTCATTTCCAAGATCTCGTCTTCGCGCTCACCGTGGGAAGATGATTGCCTTCTCTCCTATATATATATATATCTCTCGCTCTTTCTCTCCATCCCTTTCTCTTCTAGTTTCGCCAAGGTGCTTATGATGAATACAGAATATGAAATCAAATGGGGCGAATCATTACTAGTGACTGCATAATAAACATAATGTCTCGGATAATTTATCACGTCACGAAGGAGGAAGATTCCTCTTTTACTCCGGAAACTTGTATTTTCCATTTGAGTCAATATTCTTTTTCTGTATTTTCCCTTCTGGTAAAAATCTTCTTTTTGCCTTTTTTTAAGTTGAGATTTCATTTCTATATTTTTTTTCAAGTTTTCTATTTCTTTTCATCTTCTTATTGTATTTTTATTAAGTAAAGATTTTGTTTTTTAAAATTTGCGACCTTTTTAAGGCCCAACTGCGCCATCTAGTGGTAGCGTCATATAACTATTTGCAAGAACACTATAGTAAAATTTCGTTATTTCAGTTTTTGAAAATTCGCGCTCATTTTAAGCCACGACGGCGCTGTCTGACGGTGGCGTCCTGTAACTATTTCCAGTAAAATAATTATAAACCCACTTATATCGTTCGTCTTTTTTCTAAAAAACGGACAAAAGATATTTTTATTCTTTTCTCTTGGCAATTGCGAAATGTTTTTAGAAATAATTAAATTTTACAAATAATTCTATTAAAATTTTTTACAATAATTTAATGTCTCTGTGGTATTTTATAAAATTTTGTTGAGTATAATTGAATTCCTAAAAAGTATTTTATTATTTATGAAAATTATTGAATTCTTGCCAACGATTTTTATTAGGATTTTTTAAAATAATTGAATTTCCAAGAAGAAATTTATTACTTTTAAAAATAATTCAATTCTTGCGATAAATATCTATTGTTATTTATGAAAATAATTGAATTTTGCAAAGAGTTTTATTAAAATGCCTCAAAATAATTGAATTTTCGGGAATAATTTTGTTATTTATCGACAAAAGTAAATTCTTTCGAAGAATTATTTATGTAAATAATTGAATTTAATTAAATTTTAATTGAAAATAATTAAATTCCTGCGACAAATTTTTTTATTTATTAAAAATAATTGAATTCTTTAGTCAAATTTTATTGACAGTTTGGAAAATAATTCAATTCTTGCGAAGAATTTTGTTATTTACAAAAAATAATTGAATTTTTGAGGAGATTTTCATTAAAATTATCTAAAAAATATAATTGAATTTCTGAGAAGAATTTTTTATTTTTAAAAATAAATAAATCCAGGAATTTAATTAAAATTTTATTTGGAAATAATCGAATTACTGCAACGAATTTTTTTTATTAGAAATAATTGAATTCTTTAATCAGATTTTATTGACACTTTGGAAAATAATTCAATTCTTGCAACGAATCTTAATATTTATTAAAAATATTGAACTTTTATGGAAATTTTTATTAAAATTATCTAAAAATAATTTCATTTCTAAGAAAAATTTTTTTATTTTTAAAAATAAATAAATCAAGAAATTTAATGAAAATTTTACTAAAACTAATTGAATTTCTGAAACGAATTTTTTTTTTTAAATAATTGAATTCTTTAGTTAAATTTTATTTACACTTTGAAAAATAATTCAATTCTTGCGAAAAATTTTATTATTTATTCAAAATAATTGAATTTTTGAGGAAATTTTCATTAAAATCGAAAAAAATAATTGAATTTCAGAGAAAAATTTTATTATTTTTAAAAATAATTGAATTCTAAAAAAGAATTTTATTAAAATTTTAAAAAATAATAATTAAATTCATATAAGATGAATTTTATTATTTATAAAAATAATTGAATTATTGCAAAAATTTTTATTAAAATGTTTAAAAAAATTAAATTCCTCTGAAAAATTCGAATATTTTTGTAAATAATTAAATTCTTCATAATAATTTTATAAACATTGTTTTAAATAATTAATTTTTTCGAAATACAATAATAAATATTATAAAAATTTAATTTTAAATAATTGAATTCTTGTGGAAAATTTTATTCGTAAAAATAATTGAATTTCTCGAATAATAAATTTAAAATAGTAGGTATTAAAAATAATTGAAATTCTTCGATGAGTTTCATTATTTATGAAAATAGTTGAATTTTTTTCTAGAATTTCTTAAAAAATTTTGTTAAATAATTGAAATTCCATGAGAAATGTCATAGTAAGTGAAAGTAATTGAATTATTGTTAAGAATTGTATAAAAATTTTGTTAAATAATTGATTTTTTCGATATTTTATTGAAAATGCTGTTTTAAATTAATTGAATTCCTGTGGAAATTTTATTATTTATAAATATAATTGAATTTTGCATGAATTTTATCAATTTTTTTAAAATTATTGAATTCTTTTGCGAAATTTGATGAAAATACTATATATTGAATATAATTGAATTTCGAATATTTGTTGAAAATAATTGAATCGTTTGAAAGAATTTGATTATAATTTCTGAGAATAGTTTTTTTTTAATTTCTAGTATTAGCGAATTTAAAATAATGAAAATTCTAAAAAAACAGAAATTGTAGCTTTTAGTGGTTGAAATTAAAAAAAAAAAGTACCCAAATAGTAGCTTAACGTAAAAAAAGTAATAAATAGTAGGTTTTAGTAGATGAATGCGAAAAAATAGTAATTAAGGGACGCTACTAATAGATGGCGTGCGAGTAATCTAAAAAGCGCGCGAATTTTCAAATTAAAGTTCCAGAAAACTTTAAAACAATTAAGCAATGCTTTCACCATCTGTATTAGAAGAAATACAAATTAATTTGCAAATTGTACAAGGACGCCACCACCAGATGGCGCCAGTATTGCTAAAAATGAATTTTAAAAATCAAAAAACAACAACTTATGAAGTAGAATCACAATAATAATGAAACTGAATTCTTGTAAAATTGAGAATTTTCGCAAAATAGTTCAGTGACGCCACCGACAGATGGCCTGAAAAGCGCGCGAATTTTCAAATTTCAAAAATGCAAAAAACAATGCGAAGGGTCTTTCGACAGAAGAAGACAAAACAAATAAACGTAATTCGAGTAAACATTAGGTTTTAGAGTTTATAAAAAAACCGACAAAATACCAGAGTGAATTTTTTGCTTGAATCGGAAAAAATCCAAATGGAAAAAATGGAAAACAATTTTTTACGGAAGAAATACTTTCCTTATGTTTTACACACGGTATTAATTGATAATGGACAATAATACAAAATTCCAATTGCAAACTATTTGAAAAAAGGGTTGAAAAAAGACTCTTATCCACTTGTGTGAGTTTACATTTGCAGTCTTTTTCTCAACACAATAGAATTCTGATTCTGAGTGAGGTAAAGCCCCGCAGAGGAACGGTTGAATATATATATATATATATATATATATATATATTTTCACCTAGTGTGTGTGAGTGTGTGTGTGTAACCACGTTATTTGCCCTCTGTTGACTGTGTATACACGAGTCCTGGACATCGCATTGGTATTGGTCTTATATACGTACCGCGTGATACCAACCTCTTACACTCCACTCACTTCGTACCAAGCGTCAGTGACTTCGCGTCCGCCGGTTCGTTCGGACCTATTCGAATAAGTACGCATTTTCTCCTTTTATAAATCTTTTCCCTTCAACCTTTTTCTTTTTCCCTCTTCCACTCAGTTTAAATTCATATTTAAAAAAAAAAATTACTCATCGCTAAGAAATTAAAAAAAAAATTGTGCCATTTCTTCAGTTTTATTGTACAAGTGAATTTTTATTTTTAAGTGAAATTATTAATACCCCAAAAAAAGTGAAGTTCGAAAAGTAAAAAAAGAATGGGAAAATCTAATTGGAAATCGGACAATGTCAAATTTTGCGACATGAAAAATTTTTCTCTAAGGAAGTTTTTTTTGACTTTTTTGAAATAAAGAAGTTTTTTCTGGTCAGTTTTTGTTTGCCGACAATTTTTACAGTGGGAAAAATTTAAAAAAAGGATCAAGAAATAGTGACAAACACAAAATACGTGAAAATACGAAAAAAATACTAAAAATAGGGAAAAAATAAAAAAAGAATACTAAAAAATACGAAACGAGTACTAACAAATACTTGTAATACGAAACGAAAAAAGGAAGGAAAAGTGTAACATACGAAAAAGGTAATAAAAACTACGAAAGGAATACTAAAAAAACAAAAAGAATACTGAGACATAGAAAAAGAATACTAAAAATTCAAAGAATACTAAAAATAGAGAGAGAAGACTAAAAAAAGGAGAGAGATACTAAAATATACGAAAATATTTCTTAAAATACAAGAGGAATACTAAAAATACAAAAAAAGACTAAAAGTAAGAAAGGAATACTAAAACAATATAATGAAGGTACTTAAAATACAAGGAGAATACTAGAAATATGAAACGAGAACTAAAAAAGGAAAAGAGAATACTAGAAAATACAAAAAGAGTACTAAAAATGTAGGAAGAATTTCAAAAATATTAAAAGAATACTAAATATTCGAAAAAAGTACTGAAAAATGTAAAAAATACGGAAAGAATAGTGAATATTCGAAAACAGTACTAAAAAAATACTAAAACTTACGAAAAAAATACTAAAAGTAAGGAAAGAGTATAAAAAATACTAAAATAATACTAAATATTTGAAAAAAGTACTAAAAAATGCAAGAAATACAGAAAGAATACTAAATATTCGAAAACAGTCCTATAAATACTAAACTTACGAAAAGAGTATACTAAAAATAAGGAAAGAGTATTGAAAATACTAAAAGAATACTAAATATTCGAAAAAAGTATTAAAAAATGTAGAAAAATACGGAAAGAATACTAAATATTCGAAAACAGTACTGAAAATACTAAAACTTACGAAAAGAGTACTAAAAATAAGGAAAGAGTATTAAAAATACTAAAAGAATACTAAATATTCGAAAAAGTACTAAAAAATGTAAAAAAAATACGGAAAAAATACTAAATATTCGAAAAAGTACTAAAAAATGTAAAAAAAATATGGAAAGAATACTAAATATTCGCAAAAGTACTAAAAATTCAAAAAATACGAAAAGAATACAAAAGCACATAAAAAGAAAATTAAAAAATATATAAAAATGATAATAAACATACGAAAAGGAAACTTTTCGCATTTTTAGTATTCTTATACTATTTTTTAGCACTTTTTCAAATGTTTTAGTATTCTATTCAAATTTTTAATATTCTTCCTGTATTTTCAGTACTCTTTTTGTAGTACAGGAGAAAAACGAAAAATACGAAGAGAGTACAAAAAATACTAGAAAAATACTAAAACTTAAGAAAATATTACCAAAACATGCGAAAAAAATAATAAAAAATAGCAAAGGAATACTAAAAATCGAAATAAACACTAAAAATACAAATCATAATTTGAAAAGAATATAAAAAATACGAATAGTGCAGTAACAAAAACGAAAATATTACTAAAAATACGAGAAGAATACTAAAAATGCAAAAAGAATACTAAAACATTCGAAAATAATGCTAAAAGATACAGAAAGAAGACCAAAAATACGAAAGGAATATTGGAAATGCGAAAGGAATACTAAAACATTCGAAAACAATGCTAGAAATACTAGAAGAATACTAAAAATACTAAAAGAATACTAAAAGTACTAAAAAATATAAGAAAATACTAAAAATACAAAAGGAATACCAAAATACATAAACATAAAATTAAAAAATAAAAAAGGATAATGAATATATACGAAAAGAAACTTTCGGTATTTTTAGTATTTTTCTAGTATTTTTTAGCATTATTTTGGAATGTCTCAGACTTCATTTCGCATTTTTAATATTCCGTTCGTATTTTTCGTCTTCTTTTTGTAATACTAGAAAAAAACGAAACAATACGGAAAGAATGCAAAAAATAATAGAAGAATACTAAAGCTTAAAAAAAATTACAAAAATAATACTAAAACATACTAAAGGGTAATAAAAAATAAAAAAAAAGAATACTAAAAAATGATAGGATTACTAAAACATACGAAAATAGTTTTAAAAATTCAAGGGGAATACTAAAAATACGAAAACAGTACTAAAAATAAAAAAGGAATACCAAAAATACGAAGAGAACTCCAAAAATACATGTGGAATACTAAAAATACGAATTATAATTTGAAAAGAATACTAAAAAATATGGATGGAGTAGTAACAAATACAAAAAACAGTACAAAAGTACAAGAAGAATACTAAGAACACGAAAAGAATACTAAAAATGCGAAGAGTTCTAAAAATGTATGAGGAATACTAAAAATACGACAAAATTATCATAACATACGAAAAAATACTAAAAATATAAAAAAGTTCTACAAAAGGAAGAATACTAAAAGTATTAATAGTACTAATTGTACTGAAAATGCAAGAATACTAAAAATACTAAAAGAATACTAAAAATACGAAAATAGTATTGAAAATACAAGAATACTAAAAAACGTAAAGAATACTAAAAAATAAAAATAGAGTAGTTACAAATACGAAATCAGTACTAAAAATATAAGAAAAATACGAAAAGAATACTAAGAATACGAAGGAAGTTAGTAAAATACACAAGAAATACTAAAAAATACGAAAAAATTATAATTAATTTACGAAAAAATACTGAGAATACGAGAAGAATACTAAGACGTACGAAGAAAAGTACTAAACAAATTTAAGAAGAATACTAAAAAACAAAAAATACTAAAAATATGAAAACAGTGCTACAAGAGGAAGAATACTAAAAGTATCGAAAATAATACTAAAAATACGAAGAGAATACTAAAAAAATAAGAAAATAGTCCTGAAAATGCAAGAATACTAAAAATACGAAAAAAATACTAATGATAGACAAACAATACTATAAATACAAAAAGAATACTAAAAAAAGGAGAAGAATACTAAAAATACGAAAAAAATACTAAAAAAGGAGAGGAATACTAAAAATACGATAGGAATACTAAAAAAGGCGAAGAATACTAAAAATACGAGAAGAATACTAAAAAAGGCGAAGAATACTAAAAATACGAAAAGAATACTAAAAATCAAAGTTTACAAAATACTTTTTTTTCATTTGACGAAAGAAAAACGAAAGTTTTTTGAATTATACACAAGAATGTAAATTCACCCCAACGTGAGGATAAACCTTGAGACGATTGACCCCTACGGCAAAACTACGAGAGTTGGTATAATACACTCGCGGATCTTGTCAGAGTGAGAGAGGACGGTGGGAGGGGGGGGAGGGGGACGACTTTAACAGAAAGGTTTACGAACTTGTTCACAGAATTCGAGGAGAGGCGAATATCGGTAACTCGTTCGAATCTACATAAATAATAGTCGAGAGAGCCAAAGAGAGAGAGAGAGAGAGAGAGATAGAAAAAAAAATTCTTTAACAGTCAATTCCCGACGGGGTGGATATATAGGAAAAGGGTATTCCAACAATTTGTCTCGAGAGAGAAGGAGAAACGATTTACGATTGGTAATTTATTGAACCTGGCCAATCGAAGAAGTCTGCTATATATATAGCGGATCGAATAAAGGGACTTGTATTCATCAGTACTCCATTTAACCAACATTGGGGATTTATAGTTTATCGCTCGAAACATATGATTTCTATATTTACAAATTTATCATTTTGTGAAAAATTATAATAGTACTTTTGCATATGCGCAAGATCAAAATACAAAAAAAAATGATTTTTGAAAAAGTGGGGGAAAAAAGCAAAAAAAAATTTTTTTTATTACTATTTGACATTGTAGTGGTTTTCAATGTATTCGTGTCGTCTGAACACGATCCCAAGTCTCAAAATTAAGTATCACTTCAGTTTTTTGAAAAAAGTGGGGTAAAAGGCAAAAAAAACGTGTTTTTGCCAGTTTTGAAAAAAAATTTCTAATTTGAAGTGCTAGAGACTAGGGATTTGAATTTAAAACTTGAAACTTGACTCAAAAATACAGGAGAGAAAAAAAGGATTTCGCAGAAAGTGGAATAACGACTTAAAAAATGCTCAAGCAAAAAAAGTAAAATATTTTTGAAAAAAGTGGGGGTAAAAGCCCGAAAAATAATTTTGTTCGCAACTTTTGACATCAGAGTGGTTTCCAATTTGATTTCGAGTGCCAAAATTGCGAAGAACGTGAAACTTTTAAAAAAAAGTGGGTGTTAAGACCCAAAAATAAGGTTTTCTTTGGAGGATTTTTAAAATATTTTAAATTCTAACTTGACGTGCAAGAGACTTTCAAAAAGGCCTAAATTAAAACCTTGAAACGTACACTTTAAGACCCGTATTATTTGTAGTAATGAAAAAAATATTCATTAAGAGAAAAAAATTGAAAGATTTTTGAAAAAAGTGGGGGTAAAGACCCCAAAAAAATTTTTTCGTTATTTTCGACATGGGAGTAGTTTTCTATGTATATTTGTGCTCTGAACACGTAACCAGATGCCAAAATTGCCTAGCAGTTCAGGATTTTGAAAAAAAAGTGGGAATAATGACCCAAAAATGTATTTTCAAGGATCTTTACCCCCATTTTTCTAAAAATCTTCTATTTTCTGTTTTTCTTATACTTCTATATAAATATTTCACTTCAAAATATTCAAAAACACTTTTTTTGGAATTTAAACTAAACATTTTCTTAGAAAATTAATTCCTGAAGTTTATTCAAAAAAATACTTTTTAAAACTCCGGAAAATTAGATTTCTAAAATATTTTAATTTTTTTTTTGTTTGAAGACAAATGAATTTATATACCTAATTAAGTAATTGAACATTTTTAAAATCATCCTATTTTATTTTTCTAAAACTCTATAAAAAATCATTGAATATTTTTAAAATTTTCATCGAAATTCGTGAAAATAATCGAGGGAAATTTAAATTTTAAAAGGCTTCATTTTTGAAACTTCCTAAAATTTAAATATATCTAAAAATTAGGAATGTAATTCGTAGAAATTCAATTATTTTCTGGAATTTGTAAGTAAAATATTTTCTAAAAATTGAATTGCCTTTAATTAAATTTTCCAAAACTTTGAGTTTTTGAATGTCGAATATGTTTTAATTAGGAAAATATATAAATTCAAAAATTAAACCAGATTCGCAGAAAAAATTTGAATTTAAATTTTTTCACAAAACTAAATTCTTCATTATTTTTAATTAAAATTTTTCAATTTTAAAACTCTGGAAATCTAATTATTATTAGAAATATTTCTGTTGTAACTTTTTAAAAATTCAATTACTTTTTAGAACTTTGATAATCCAGAGTTATATTTTTTTAAAAATAATTGAATTTTAGCAGTGTTGCCTTTTCAAGTTTTAAAATAATTGAAATTTAGAAATTTTGAGCTTCGAGTTTTAAAAATAATTGAATTTTGGAAGAGATTCGTTTACAATTCTTAAAAATAAATGAATTTTGGAAAAGTTATTTTTCATTTTTAAAAAATAATTGAATTTTGGAAGTGTTGGCTTTTCAAGTTTAAAAATAATTGAAATTTAGAAATTTTGTGCTTTGATTTTGAAAAATAATTGAATTTTGGAAGAGTTATTTTTCATTTTTTTAAAATAATTGAAATTTGGAAATTTTTTTTTTTTTTTTTTTGAATTTTGGAAAAACTTCAATTATAATTCTTAAAAGTAATTGAATTTTCGAAAAGTTACATTTTTCATTTTTAAAAAAATAATTGAATTTTGAAACTGTTGCCTTTTCAAATTTTGCAAATAATTGGATTTTGAAAGTTTTGTCCTTCAATTTGTAAAAATAATTGAAATTTGAATATTTACATAATTCTAATTCTTAAAAATAATTGAATTTTGTAAGTGTTTTTTTAATTCTGCAAGTAATTGAATTTTCGAAGTTTTGTCATTTGATTTTTAAAAATAATTGAATTTTGTAAGTGTTGACTTTTCAAATTTTGCAAAAATTAATTGAATTTTGGATGTTTTGTCCTTCAATTTTTAAAAATAATTAAAATTTTGTAAGCGTCTTTTTTCAAATTCTGCAAATAATTGAATTTCAGAAGTTTTGTCATTTGATTTTTAAAAATAATTGAATTTTGTAGGATTTACGTTTACAATAATTCATAAAAATAATTGAATTTTTTACGTGTCTTTTTTCAAATTCTGAATATAATTGAATTTTGGAAGACTTAGATTTCAATTTTTGAAACTAATTGAATTTTAGAAGAGTAACTTTTTCAGTTTTCAAAAATATTTTCCTTTTGGAAGAGTTAAATTTTCAATTCTTTAAAATAATTGAATTTTGGAAGAATTGAATTTTCAATTCCTAAAAAAATAATTGAATCTTTCAAAAGTTACATTTTTAATTCTCAAAAATAATTGAATTTTTAATTGATTCCCGATTTCAATTATCAAGAGTAATTGAATTTTTAGATTGAATCAAAATGTTCTTTAGGGCCATAGGGTGATGAGAAAGTGAAAAATCTTCTCTAAAAATTAGGGGAAGGAAAAAGTAATAATAATAAATGAAATTAATAACAAAAAGTAAATAATAAACGAAGTAAAATTATAATTGAAATAAAATAAATAAAAAGAATAAAGTAATAATTAAAAGAATAAATGTAAATAAAATAATTGAAAGAAACAACAAATAATAATAATAATAATAAAAATAATAATAAAAATATTAATAATAATAAAAATATAAATATAAATATAAGACAAAAATTTCCCCTCATTCGAAACTCAAGAAATCGCACAATTTTTTCTAATCTTTTTTTCTTGTTTCTTTTTGGTGAAAGTTTAACTGATTAATAATTCCCAGGTATCAGAGAGAGAGAGGGGGAGGAAAACCGGAAGTGATAATTGGAAGTACGATATTCAAGACCCAGTTCGCCAAAAAAAAGGAAGAAATAAAAAAGAAGAAAATAATAAAAAGAAGAAGAAGAAGAAGAAGAAGAAGAGAAGGAGGAGGAGGTGGGGGATTTTTCTGATGGTACCCCATGGTGTGACTCTCCGAAGGATATAAATCGACTTGTAGATATTTGAAAGCTCTGATGGTCAGTAGGAAACAAACTGTAAATCATAAACGCCACGGGGTTCAAACTCAGGAGGAGATAAGTGCCTTCGCGTTGATCGTTGGTCGCGCGATATCCCGGGGATTGAGTGTGGCCAATCGGGCCATGATCCATCCTCCAACTGTCCGTCTTCCATCGCCCACGAATCCTCTGACTTGATAATCAAAAAAAAGGAGGCAGTCGGCGAACGAGGAGCCGGAGAAGAAAGAGCGAAAGAAAAAGAAGAAAGAAAAGAAGAAAGAACGAGATAAAGAAAAAGAAGAAGGAAGGGAAGAAGAAAGAGAGAAAGAAAAAGAAGAAAAGGAAGAAGAAAAAGAGAAAAAAAGAGAAGAAGAAGAAGAGGGAGAGAAAAGAGAAGAAGAAAAAAGAGAGAAAGAAGAAGAAGAAGAAGAAAAGGAAGAAGAAAGAGAGAAAGAAAGAGAGAAAGAAAAAGAAGAAAGAGAAGAAGAAGAAAAGTAAGAAGAAAGAGAGAAAGAAAGAGAAGAAGAAGGAAAGGAAGAAGAAAGAGAGAAAGAAACAGATGAAGAAATAGACAAAGAAAAGAAAAAAGAGGAAGAAGAAAAGGAAAAAGAAGAAATAAAAGAAAGCGAAAAAGAAGTGAAAGAAGAAAAAAAAGAGGTTAAAGGAGAAGAAGAAGAAAAGGGAAAAGAGGAAGTAAAAGAGTAAGAAAAAGAAGAAGAAGAAGAGAAAGAAGAAGAAAAGGGAAAAGAAAAAGAAGAAGTAAAAGAGGAAGAGAAAGAAGAAGCAGAAAAAGAAACAAAAAGAGAAGGAAAAAAGGAACAAGAAGAAAAGCAGAAGTAGAAAAAAGAAAGAAGAAAAAAAAGGAAAGAAAAGGAAAAGAAAAGAAAAAGAAGAACAAGAAGAAAAACAAAAGGAAAAAGAAGAAGAGAAGAATAAAGAAGAACAAGTAAAGGAAGGAAAAGAGGAACAAAAAGAAAAGGAAAAGAAGAAAAACAAAAAGAAAGGGAAAACGAAGAAAAAGAACAAAAGAAAACGAAGAAAAGAAAGAAGAAACAAAAAGTAAGAGAAGAAGGAAAAGAACAAAAAGAAAAAGCCGAGGAAGAAAGAGAAAGAAAAATAGAAGAAAGAAAAGGAAAAGAAGACAGTCAACAAAAATGGTGGCAAAAGAAAAAAATTCTTCCGCCAATCATCGAAAAGTGAACAAATGTGAGAGGAACAAAAAGTAAAAATAAATTTCCCATTTCCCCGGGAAAATGGATTCCACTGATGGAAATCGAATCCAAAAAAAGGATTACGAAAGTGAAATGAAAATTTTCATCAAAGTGCCAATAAAGTGGGAGAAAAAATGTTCTTCAATTCAAAAACAATCATTCCAGTGTCTCAATTGAGAACAATTAATTATTTACAAAAAAAAAAAAACAACTATCCCCTAAGATAAAAAATTAGAAAGTGCCAGTTACCGTATTCAAAGAGTGCGTGTGCTTCAAAAAAAGTGATCTCGATTAAACAATATTTTTAAAAAATAATTTTAGAAAAAAGTATATTTCAAAAAAAAAAAAATACATTTTAGAAAAAAATCTATTTTAAATCTATTTCACAAAAACTTTATTTTCGGAGAAATATATTTAGAAGAAGTATATTTTCCAAAAAAAATTAATTTAAAACAAGTATATTTTCAAAAAATATATATTATCATAAAATTAAATTTTCCAAAAATATATATTTTCAAAAGAAAATATATTTTCGAAAAAAATATACTGTAAAAAAATATATATTTTCAAAAACAAAAAAATAAATTTTCAAAAAAAAATAGATTTTCCAAAAAAATAGATTTTTAAAAAGAAATTTTCAAAGAAAAATTAGATTTTCAAAGAAAAATAAGATTTTCAAAGAAAAAATAGATTTTCAAAGAAAAAATAGATTTTTCAAAGAAAAAATAGATTTTCCAAGAAAAAGTAGATTTTCCAAGAAAAAATAGATTTTCAAAGAAAAAATAGATTTTCAAAAAAATAGACTTTCAAAGAAAAATTAGATTTTCCAAAAAAAAATAGATTTTTAAAAAGAAATTTTCAAAGAAAAATTAGATTTTCAAAGAAAAATAAGATTTTCAAAGAAAAAATAGATTTTCAAAGAAAAAATAGATTTTTCAAAGAAAAAATAGATTTTTAAAGAAAAATTAGATTTTCAAAGAAAAAATAGATTTAAAAAAAAGACTTTCAAAGAAAAAATAAATTTTCAAAGAAAAAATAGATTTTCAAAAAAATAGATTTTCAAAGAAAAAATAGATTTTCAAATAAATAGATTTTCAAAGAAAAAATAGATTTTCCAAAAAAATAGATTTTCAAAAGTAAGTTTTCAAAGAAAAATTAGATTTTCAAAGAAAAAATAGATTTTCCAAAAAAATAGATTTTCAAAAAAAAATTTTCAAAGAAAAATTAGATTTTCAAAGAAAAATAAGATTTTTAAAGAAAAAATAGATTTTCAAAAAAATAGACTTTCAAAGAAAAAATAGATTTTCCAAGAAAAAATAGATTTTCCAAGAAAAAATAGATTTTCCAAAAAAAATAGATTTTCAAAAAAAAATGTTCAAAGAAAAATTAGATTTTCAAAGAAAAAATAGATTTTCAAAAAATAAATTTTCAGAGAAAAAATAGATTTTCCAAAAAAATAGATTTTCAAAAGTAAGTTTTCAAAGAAAAATTAGATTTTCAAAGAAAAAATAGATTTTCAAAAAAAAACTTTCAAAGAAAAAATAGATTTTCCAAAAAAATAGATTTTCAAAAAAAAATTTTCAAAGAAAAATTAGATTTTCAAAGAAAAATAAGATTTTTAAAGAAAAAATAGATTTTAAAAAAAATAGACTTTCAAAGAAAAAATAGATTTTCTAAGAAAAAATAGATTTTCCAAAAAAAATAGATTTTCAAAAAAAAATGTTCAAAGAAAAATTAGATTTTCAAAGAAAAAATAGATTTTCAAAAAATAGATTTTCAGAGAAAAAATAGATTTTTAAAGAAATGTATTTTTAAAGAAAAAATGTATTTTCCAGAAAAAAAAGATATTTTTAAAAAAGAATAAATTTTGAAAATAAAGTTAAATTTGGAGACGAAAAGAAAGTTAAAGTTAAATGAAAAGGAAAAATGTCATCGAATGGAGAATTTTCAACGATATCGAGTGGGGAGATACCGTCCTTGCCGAAATCACTGCCGAGCTCAAGGGAGGCAACGGCCGAGGGTAATTCGAGCACTGGCGGCGGTAGTTTCACGCCGCTGAGAGAATTTCTGGACAGATTCTCGCTGCCCAGAGTTGTGCGACTGGAGGGCACTGCCGGACGGCCGATTTTACTCTATAAACAACAGCAACGCTCATTGAGAGTGTCAGCGACACTTTTGATGCATCGATATCGACACGATGTTAAAGTTGGACCCGAAATTGTTATTCCCGAAGGATATCCGGGTAAGACGAATATTCAAAAAATATAATTATTTTCGTAAATTTAATTTTATTTAATAAATTTTTTTAATTTCTTCTTTAGCTAAATTTTTTGAGATATTTAACTGTAACTAAACTTATTTTCCTGTTATTATTCGATTTTTTAGTTTTTACTTAAGGGAAAATTGGGAAAATCTTTTGGATATCTTAAAAAAAAATTACAAAGATGACAATTTAATTAAAATTAGTTAAAATCAGCTGAAATTGACCTATTTTACAGACTAATTATAATTAAATGTAAAATCACTTGATAAAAAATTGTTTTGTATTGGAAAATTTGAGAAAATCACGGAAAACTCGGGAAAATTCAATAAAATAGTGAAAAAGATTTAAATAAAATTTTGAAAACGAATAAAATCGAGTTGGTTTCTTTTCTAGATCTGCGAAAGTCTTGGCATTAAAGAAATAAAATTTTAATTTGTCGGAAAATAGAGAAAATTGGGAAAATCTTTTGGAAAACACGGAAAAATTGCTAAGTGCCGTGCCAAATTTGTTGCAATTAGTTAAAATCAGATAAAATTATATTATTACTTCTTAATACCGCCATGAGTCAAGATTCAATTGAATCAGACTTTTTTCCATTGGAAAATTCCGGAAAATCGATGGAAAACTCGAAAAAATTACAAAGTAAGGTACTAATTTAATTTCAAGCAGTAAAAATCACCTAAAATTGAATTATTATGAAGGTTTCTTATAATTGGATGTAAAATCAATTAATAAAATTTTGTTTTGTGTGGGAAAATTCAAGAAAATCACGGAAAACTCAAAAAAAAAAAATTAAATAAAACGACAAAAAAGATTTAAATATAAATTTGGGTTAGTTTCCTTTCTAGATCTGCATAAATTTTTATACTAAAGTTCTAGACTTTTAAATTGTTGAAAAATAGAGAAAATTGGAAAAATCTTCCGGAAAATTCGGAAAAATTGCTAGTACCGTTCCAAATTCGTTCCAATTGGATAAAATGAGCTAAAATTGAATTATTTATACTTTCTAATATCATTGAGTCAACATTCAATTTATGGAAACTAGTTTTTTATCGAAAAATTCTAGAAAATCATTGGAAAACTCGAGAAAATTGCAAAGTAAGGTGCTAATTTATTTTCAAGTAGTTAAAATTATCAAAAATTGAATTATTTTTAAATCTACTTATAATTGGATAAATAATCAATTGATAAAATTTCATTTTGTTTCGGAATATTCAAGAAAATCTGGGAAAACTATAAAAAATTAAAATAAAACTATTAAAAATATTTAAATATTTTTTTAAAAATGGATAAAATCGAGTGACTTTTCTTTGTAGATCAGCGCAATTCTTAATACTTAAGTTTTAGACTTTTAATTAGTTGAAAAATATAGAAAATTTAGAAAATTTTCCGGAAAACACGGAAAAATTGCAAAGTTACGTTTTAAACTAGTTGCAAGTGGTCAAAATCAGCTAAAATTGAACTATTTTCACGTCTACTTATAATTGGATTTAAAATCAAATGAAAAACAATTTTTTTGTGTCGGAAAATTCAAGGAAATCACGGAAAACACGAAAAAATTTAATAAAACAATTAAAAAGATTTAAATAACATTTTGAAAACTAATAGATTAGCGTATTCCCTGATACTTAACTTATAAATTTTTTATTTTTTCGGAAAATTTGAGGAAATCTTTAAAATTGTCTGGAAAATTCGGAAAATTTTGTAAGGTAATGTACCAAATTAGTTGTAAATAGTTAAAATTAGAAAGAATTGAATTATTATTACTTCTTAATACCATTGAGTCAACGATCGATTTATGAAGACTTGTTTTCTTTCGGAAAATTGTGGAAAATCGCGGAAAACTCGCAAAATTTTTTTAAAAAAGCAGTCAAAAATATTTAAATAGAAATTTGTAAAAGGTTGCAGATCTAGAAAGATGACTAACCCGATTTTATCCGTTTACAATTTTTTATTTAAATTTTTTTTACCGTTTCAATCTATTTTTTCGTGATTTTCCGTTATTTTTTTAATTTTTACGTTCCATAACAAATTTTTATCAACTGTTTTGAGATCCAATTATAAGTATAGATGTAAAAATAATTTAATTTTAGCTGATTTTGACTACTTGCAACTGTTTTTACGTTATTTTGCAATTTTTCCATGTTTTCCGGACAATTTTTTTTTAATTTCCTCTATTTTGCGGCAAATTAAAAGTTTATAACATAATTACCAAGGTTTATGCATATATCTAGGAAGGAAATTATCTAGATTTTATTTGTTTTTAAACTTTTATTTCAATCTTTTGCACCGTTTTCTTCCATTTTTTTTGTGATTTCCACGAATTTCCGTGTTTTCTGGAAGAATTTCTCAATTTTTTCTATTTTCCAACAATTTAAAAGTCTAAAACTTTAGTAAAGAGGTTTGGTGCAAATCTAGGTGGGAAGTCAACTCGATTTGGTTTGTTTTTAAACTTTTAATTAAATCTTTTTCACCGATTTCTTCCATTTTTTTGTGATTTCCACGATTTTCCGTGTTTTCTGGAAGAATTTTTCAATTTTTTCTATTTTCCAACAATTTAAAAGTCTAAAACTTTAGTAAAGAGGTTTGGTGCAAATCTAGGAAGGAAGTTAACTCGATTTTGTTCGTTTTTAAACTTTTATTTAAATCTTTTTCACCGATTTCTTCCATTTTTTTTTGTGATTTTTACGATTTTCCGTGTTTTCTGGACGATTTTTTCAATTTTTTCTATTTTCCAACAATTTAAAAGCCCAGAACTTTAGTAAAGAGGTTTTGTGCAAATCTAGGTGGGAAGTCAACTCGATTTTGTTCGTTTTTAAACTTTTATTTAAATCTTTTTCACCGATTTCTTCCATTTTTTTGTGATTTTCACGATTTTCCGTGTTTTCTGGAAGAATTTCTCAATTTTTTCTATTTTCCAACAATTTAAAAGTCTAAAACTTTAGTAAAGAGGTTTGGTGCAAATCTAGGTGGGAAGTCAACTCGATTTGGTTCGTTTTTAAACTTTTATTTAAATCTTTTTCACCGATTTCTTCCATTTTTTCGCGATTTCCATGATTTCCATAAATTTTCTAATACAGAACAAATATTTTTCAATTAATTGTAGATCCACTCATTAGTAGACTTTAAAATATTAAAAAACAATCTATATTTGATTAAATATAAGCTGAATCATAAATTTTCGTGATGAAAATAATCGAAAACCAGGAAGAGTGATTTTCGTGATTTCCAGTCTCTCGAAGAAATTGGTCTCTTCTCAAGATTCGAAGTAGCCATCGCTCTTGTATTATAAATTATAATTGCCCGTTTGATCTAATGCTCCAGCTGCCATACTCTCTCTTTCTTTCTTTCTTTCTTTCCCTCCGGATTACAACCCATAATTTCTAATTAGCTAATAACCAACGCTTATAACCAGTAAACCAGTAAACCATTGGGTGTACCACAGTGGCTCTAAAACTCTCGCAAGCAAAAGCCTTTCGCAATTCTCGAGTTGAATTATTTTTTTTTATTCCTTTTTTTTATTATTTTCTCCCTCGAACCGGGAAAAGATATATATACTATATACGCAGTTTCGTATCTCGTGAACTCCTTTTTTGTTTAGATGCGTTTTTCTCAGTAGCTCTCTTTCTCTCTCTCTCTCTAATGATACCAATCCCAATAGTCTTGGGCAATGATCAACAATCATTTTGTACAACAGTTACCGTTGAGTCGCAAGCCGATGATCATTTCCAGGAAAATTATTTAAGGCAAGAAAATTCTATCATTTCTTTTTCAAAGCTATTAAGAAACTTCTTCTTCGGCATATAAAAGGAATTCCTCACACGATTCTCCATTAAGAGGCGCACAAACATTGTATAGGGAGGTTGAAAATTAATTTCTTTTTTTTCTTTTTGCTAAGTGCATTTTATAAGAGCGCGAGCGTGGAAAAGGAAATATTTTCAAAATAAGGGAAAATTCCGATCTTTTTTCGTATTTTTTTAATTATAAAAAAGGAAGTAATATATTTTACGGGAAAAAAGGAACATTAACTGTATTTTATAGTTTTGGCAAAGTACTGACATTTTATTATTATTGGCAATTATTATTACTATTGGCAGTATAAAGATGCGAATTGTATTGGCCTTTGTAAAATTTTTGCTGAAAATCCATTATTTTGGAAATATTAAGGGCAAATTGTATTCATTTTGACAAAATTTTATCCAAGTTATATTTACATTGCGGCAATATTGAGGGTAAAATGTAATGATGTTGGCAAAATTGTGTCAAAATTCTAATATTTGCATTGTCAATACCGAAGGCAAGTTGTTTTAGTTTTTCAAAATTCTATTTACATATACGTCAATAGCAAACTTAAGAGTGAATTATGTTAGTTTTGGCAAAATTCTATTTACATTGTCAATAGCCAATTTAAAAGCAAATTATATTAGTTTTGGCAAAATTCTATTTACATTGACAATGTTAAAGGAAAATTGTATTTTTGCAAAATTCTAATTAGATTTACAATATTAAGGGAAAATTTTATTAATGTTGTCAAAATTCTATTTATATCGACAATATTAAAGGGCAAATGTATTAGTTTTGGCAAAATTATTGCAAAATTTTAATTGGATTGCCAATTTTGAAGGCAAACTATATTTGTGTTAGCAAAATTGTGGAAAATTCTGTTTACATTGACAATGTTAAAGAAAAATTGTATTAGTTTTAAAAAAATTTTTTCAAAATTCTAATTAGATTGGCAATATTGAGGGCAAATTGCATTGTTGTTGGCAAAATTATATTTACATTGGCAATATTAAAGGCAAAATGCACTAGTTTTTCGAAATTGTATTTACATTATCACTAGCTAAATTTAAGAGTAAATTATATCAGTTTTGACAAAATTGTGTCAAAATCCTATTTACATTAACAATACTCTAGGAAAATAGTATTAGTTTTGGCAAAATTGTTGCAAAATTCTAATTACATTGACAATATTTAGG